GGGTGGCTTGGCCTGGCTGACCCACGGCGGCACCCTTCAGCAAGGTACGAGACGCGGGGCTGTTCCTGGCCACGTTCGCGGCGGTGCTGGGACCGCTGAGCTTCGGCTTCGTGCTGGGGTACAGCTCGCCCGCCATCCCCGCGCTGCGGCGGAGCAGCGACCCGGCGCTGCGGCTAGACGGCGACCAGGCGTCGTGGTTCGGGGTAAGCGGGGACCGGGGTGGGGTGGGGTGGCTGGGCAGCATAGAGCAGGCCTGTGGGGCCCAGCTTGCTGCCTGTCTGTCCCGGCTCGCCGACTACTAAGACGAGCCGGCGCTGGGTTGTTGACTGACTGCAGCCTGCCCCGCCCCTCCCCTGTCTCCACACCTTTCCTCTTTTGCTTTGCAAATAACATTGTCTGAAATGTCCCCGTGCTTCGGGGGTGCTGCCCTCTTGGCTGCATCCGGTGAGGCAGTCGGGCTCATCCCTGGCACCTACTCGGACTGCCCGTCACAATGACTCCCAGCTCCCTTGCAGGAGCCCCAGGGAAGGCGGCTGCTTGGGCAGCAATTGCTTCCTGGAGCTTTCCAGCAACTTGCCGTCTGTCCCATGTGTAAGGGTGATGTGCCGGGGGTGCGTGCAGGTGCACCCCCTGAGCGTGGTAGTGCAACCCTGCGGGCAGTTGCTGCTCGCCATCCTGCTGCTGATGCTGCTGGCGGTGTCTGCAGGTAGTCCAACGTAGCTCCTGGCTGCTGCCACGGCTGCTGGTGGTGCCTGCTGACCCCCGGTCGGCACTTGCCGCCACCCTCCCCCATGTCTGCCAATGCCAGCGGTGTCTGCAGGAGCTCCTAGCTTGTTGCTACCAGTGCAACTGTGGTGCCCCCCCCCGCCACCAGGGGCACATGCCATTCATGCCCGTGTGCGACCTTGTCTTTTTTTCTTTTTTTTTTTTTTTCAGTCTATAGTAACCTTAGGAGCTGGTGCTGGAGGAGTACTAGGAGGCTACGCTGTGGATAAGCTTGGGCGAAAGCTGAGTCTGATGCTGTGCTCAGTACCATACATCTTTGGGTTTATGATTATAATCTCTGCCCACAATGTCTGGATGCTTTACTGCGGACGAATACTGACTGGTTTAGCCAGTGGAGTTACTTCACTTGTTGTTCCAGTAAGTGAGCAGAGTGGTATTTTCTTCAGTGCACATACACCCAAATGCCCTTCTAGATTTTTAAAGTGACTCCTAGAAATGCGTTCTGCTGTCTAAGCTTGTGTTTTTCCTAATCCAACTCTTGCATTGGAACACTTCAAGATTTTTCTCGTTGATCTAACCTGAATTTCTTCCAACTCGGAACTTGCCTTTAGCTTAGCTTATGTCTAAAGAATTTCCTTGTTTTATTCCTTTAGAATGTATTTATATAAAGAACCCTCTTAGCAATCACTGTCTGCTTCTAAGTATCTGAAGATAAACAGTATCTATCAAAGCTTGAGAGATTTAAACTTTTTATTTAAGTTTTAAAAAAAAAAAAAAACAAAAAAAACAAAAGTTCTCATTCACTACTAGGTGGTAGGTGCTTTGTCACTTTGGAACAGTGCCAGGTATAGTGCAGCTATATCCAAGTTTACTATTAGTGCCTGACTTCAGGTTCTTTTGTGCACACACCAGTTGCTGCTCCCCACCCTTTCATACTCCTGTGCTTAGGACCCTTCCCCTCCTCCTTTCTTGTACTCCTTGGTGAGTGAATCTGGGGTAACATAGTCTTTGTGACACAGTTTGAGGGATTAACTGTTGCACTTATTACTGTTTTGCATCACTGCTTGTCAAGTAAGTATAAACTAAAGGTACATAAAAAGGCCCATAACTTCTTATAGGCTTAAAAACAGAAGGATACTTAATTTCTATGTGTAAAGTTGTTGGGCTGTTCTCAATTAAGGATAGCCTGTGGGCTTGGTCCCACTGAGATCAGAAGGCTGCAGGGGCCTTGAAAGAGAAGTCTTCACAGAACTTGTTGAAAGAACATTCATGTCTTCATCAAAGAGACTTTCCTTGAAAACTTATGTAACGTTTTCCCATCATGGATATAGCAGAATCTGTTCTGTGACCAAAATAGCCAGTGTTAAAAATCTAATGCCCAATGTTAAGTGTTAAGAAGAATTGGTGAAAATGACTTTTCTCTTTGAGGTAAAACCGAGTTGCTAAACTTCTGTCTGAAGTATAAGAGCTGTAACTTTTGGGGGAGGGTCAGACATTCTTCATGCATAAAGGTGAGGAATTATGGTCTTGAAGATGGAATTCAACTCTGCTTTCCTGGCTCAGGTTAAAGGCAATTTCCATAACATTGGATACCTATAAGGTGTGTGTGTGTGTGTGTGTGTGTGGTGGGGGTTATGCAAGGTATGACCTACCTTTGTAATGTGCTGGGCTGGGGCCAATTAACATCTATTTTTAGAGTTTGAAAGGCCTTAGGAAGCATAGGTTTCTTTGAGGTAAAATGCTAGAGTCTTGAACCTAATCTGCAAAGATGTGTATACATGTAAATCTTCATGCTCGTCCAGAACCCTGTATAAAGTCAATGGGGTTTCAACCAGTGTCTGCTTACAAAATTTGAAGATCTTAATTTTCATCTTGGGATAGTAAGAGTTAATGTCTTATGCATGCTTTAGCCATTTTATGAAGGAAAACATGCTACTTCATGTTCTACTTGTGGTGTTTAATAGCTTCTGGTATTTTGGGGGAGGGGACTGTGATCCCTCAAAGTTACCTTGTTAGCTTTAGTTGCTCTGGTCATTCCATTTCAGCTGTTTCTTGCAGTTCCTAGTAGGCTAATAGCTTTGTTTGTTTGTTTGTTTGTTTGTTTGTTTGTTTGTTTGTTTGTTTGTTTGTTTGTTTGTTTGTTTGTTTGTTTGTTTGTTTGTTTGTTTTTCCCCCGCAGCTGAATTAAATCCTTTGTTTAATACTGCATGGAAAGATGCAACTGAATCTTTTCTGCTTCCACACTTAGGTTTATATATCAGAAATATCACATTCAAGAGTTAGAGGAACACTTGGCTCGTGTGTTCAACTGATGGTGGTAACTGGCATACTGGGAGCTTATGTTGCAGGTACTAGACTTGGTTACTTGTTGGGTGGACAGGGTTAGTGAAACTTTCTTAGAAAGCAAGAAGAGCACAGGCATGTGAGCTGGGGGTGGGGGGGAAGGGAGGAAGTGCATGCTCTGTCTTATTAGCAGTACTGGCTCAGCACAACAGGGGAGTCAGCTGATAGTTGTACTTAATAACCTTTTCCTTCCCCTTTTACCCCAGGAATGGCACTTGAATGGCGCTGGTTGGCTGTGCTGTGTTCTTTCCCACCCTGCTTAATGGTCATATTCATGTCCTTCATGCCTGAAACGCCTCGGTACCTGTTGAATCGAAACAAACACCCAGAAGCCATAGCTGCTTTAAAATTCCTAAGGGGACCACATGTGGACCATGAATGGGAATGCAGGCAGATCAAAACTAGTGCAGAGGAGCAGGTGATAAGAGGTTTTGTTGTTTGTTTGTTTGTTTGTTTGTTTGTTTTTAAGTTCTGGCTCATTTAAAAGATTGGCTGAATAAAGAAGAAACTTGAATGTAAACGGATGATTAGACATTCTGTATTCAGACACACATTTATCAGGACTAGACTTATTTGACCTCTTACTTAATAACTTACATCTGACCTGCCCCAACCAAACCAGTGTAAAAGGCAAGGGGTTTTAGAGACTGTGTTTCTCTACTTCTTGTGGCCTGAACCCATATTTCCAGGAACTAAAACTCTCACTGCAGTCGCTGGAAGTGCTGGATCAGGCCCCAGTTATATCTTCAGTAATATGTAGTTTATCTTTTCAGTCTCTTACTTACATATTGACAATTTAGATATCCACACAGTGCAGAAAGAGCTAAGAGGAAATTAAAAGCCTGGAAGTGTTGGGCAAAAATCTGCTCTTCTACACCCCTGTAAAAGAGAATAATTTGGGCTTTGGTGTAGAGTTTGAGTAGGCTGCTGAACAGCCTATAGAGTTTGCTCTATAGCAAAAACCAGGACCTCTATCGCAGAAAATTGTTATAAAAGGTCTGTATGGGTTGTGTTGTGAAGGACGGATAGAGTATGGAGGAGCCAGAAGCGCCAAATTAGGTGCGTGCACGCACACACGGGAGAAATCTGAAGTCTTCTGTAGCCTCAGTGCTGTTCCTCTGGTGTTCTGATGCTGTGGTTCAATTACTGCACCTAGGAAGTATGACAGAAAGGTATAAGAAATCCACAGCATTTGATTACAGCATCTGAAGCTATTTCAAAGATAGCAAACATTCATACTACCAAAGAATTTAACAGATTTCTTAAATGGGAGACTTGTAGTGTTTACAGTCTTGCCTCTAAAGCTAGGTGGTAGCTTTTCCTTTTTCACTTACAGAAACTGACCAGTTTCTCACTGAATCATTGCCTTACTTCCTTTTTTTTTAGCATGGACTAAGTATAGCAGAATTTAAGAGACCATCGATCTACAAGCCATTCTTTATTGGTGTGGCACTGATGTTTTTCCAGCAAGCAACAGGGATTAATGCAGTTATGTTTTATGCTGAAACTATCTTTGAGGAAGCTAGTTTTAAGGTAAGCATGGTGCGTTTTCATGGAGTGTGTGTGTGTGTCTTCCCAAAGGTAATTGCCAAGTATAACTTTAGGTACAGCTTTGATCATGATACTCTTGGGTCAGGCAGACATGGTCTTTGTGTAAAGGTGGGTTTTTTAAATTATGATGATGATGATGATGATGATGATGTAGTAATATCTTATTTCTATACTTTTAATCCACTAAATAAGTGGGAAAAATTGTTCTTTGCAAACTTTTGGGCGCACATGCCTCTCAGGCCCAGGGAGTCTGCTGGCTTGTGCCCAAAAGCTTGCAAAGAACAATTTTTTTCCAACTACTTAGTTAATCTAAAAATCAAAATCACATTTGCCCAAAGAACCTTGTCTGCCTACGTTAGACCAATACAGCTACAACCAATACCCGTGAACTCTTGGTTCAGAGCACCTAACTAGGCCAAATTCATTTGCAGCTGGATCATGAGTGTTGGGTCTCTGCTCCAATAGGTTTCTTGTTTTGCATGCAAGTATTACTTTGGTTTATCTTAATATTTAAGTTGGTTGGTTTGGGGGTGTGTGTGTGGGTTTTTTTTAGTGAAGAAGTATATTAAACTTTGCCTCTGTTTCCTGGAAGTAGAGTACAAGGTATCAGAAGCCATATTGTGAGACTCCTAGGTCTACATAGTAACCTTGACAGGGGATTCAGTTTTCTTTGCATAAGAGAAGTCAGGCCAGGAGAACAATTACCATCTTTTTGATTTTTGTTTTGTCTTCCTTCATACCTCCATTCTATGTATTCCTGTCCTGTTGTCTAGTTCCCATGCAAAAGAATGCCCTGCATTTTAGACTTGAACTATTGTTTTTTCTGTATGGGGTGTTTTGTTTGGGGGGTTTTTTGTTTGTATGTTTTTTTTCACTAGCTCAGTTTCTCTTATTTCTTGATTCTCCTTCAGATATTTCAGTCTTGGGTGTGGTAGAGGCTTGTAAGAATAGTTGCTAGCAACACTTTGCCTTTTTTTTTTTTGTTCTTCATGAATGCAAGAAGGAAGATTTTTGAGGCTGCATGCCTGGTCTGAGCAGAGAGTAGAAACTGGGAGGAATTATCTTTTTAACCTTTTTTTGTCAGGTGTTTGACTTCAGTAAAGCTGATTATAACTCGCATTATATCTGTTGCTCCCTAGGTAGCTGCACATTATAGCCATTTAGATTCCTAGCTACTGGGTGGTAATTTATGTCCTGCTTGAAGGCACTGGCCCCTGTCACCTTGAGCTACAGATGGGTCTTGTAAAGTTAAGCAGTTTTAGTCGTGTTCCATAAAGGCAACGACAAGCAAAACAAAATAGTTCAATATACTATTCTATGCCTAGTACCCCATATTCAATCATGTTTAAAATCACTGAGATTCTCCTACACAGCATCTTGTATACAAGCTAAAAGAGTGGTAAAACAATGTCAACAATACAAAAGTGCATAAAGAAAATTCATAATCACTTGCTGAAAACCAAGAAATTCCTTCTAAAAACATCTTCCCTCTTTTAGGACAGCAGGATGGCTTCAGTTGTTGTGGGTTCAATACAAGTGTGCTTTACAGCTGTGGCTGCACTTATCATAGATAAAACAGGACGGAAAGTACTACTTTGTGTATCAGGTAAAAATACAAGCTGGGGTGTGTTTTGGTCACCTAGAAATGGCTGGCTTGAATCCTTGTGGAAGGCCAGGGAAACTCCTTGTGCACATGTTTGGAGCAGGGCATGCAACAGTGTTTATAACATTGTATCCTTGGAGGAATGTTACAAAGGATCCAATCGGGGTGGGCAAAATGCAGCTTGGGGGCTTTTGGGCTCTTAGTTTTGCTACTTTTAACTTCTGTGGAAGTGCTGATGCCATGATACCAACTCCTGGGAAAACTTAAACATCCAAACAGGGTACCAAGGGCTCTTTTTATACAAGCCTTTTAAGTAGAAGGCTAGGATGGGGGCAGGCAACCCCTGGCACAAGTGTCAGAGCGGCACATGAAGTCATTTTGTTTGACGTGCGTGCTGGGGGGGGAGGGGAGTTGTGAAGGCCCTGAACCTTGTAACAAGGATCCCTAGCCCCTTCCCTGCCATCTGCACCTACTACTGGCAACAAGGTGGACCAGGGCTCTGTGGACCCCAGTGCAGTTGCTTGCAGCCTGCTGTTATGAGCAGTCTGGGCTCTGACAGGCAACAGGGGCCCCAGGAGGCTGCAAGTGGCTGCATCAGGGTCTGCAGAGCCTAGCTTATTGCTGGTGGTGGGTGCAGGTGCTTGTGCACCTTGGGGCAGACAGTGGGGAAGGGCTCAGGGCTGTGTTGCCCTGAAGATCAGACCCCTTTTGGCTCCCACACCATCCACCACTGGCACACCGACACCTTGTAAGTCAAGGTTGCGGGTATTTTTGGCATATTGCCTAAAAGTTGCTGACCCCTGGGCTGGAAGATGGAAGAAAAACACTGCAGCTGGCAAATCCATCTGTATAAACCAACCAGATTTTATATTTGGGGGAAAAAAAAAAAACTCTTTCAAAAGAAATAGTTCCCTGTATTCTTTAACTGCTTCATCTAAGAATAACAGTAAGAAAGCTATCTTGGTTTGCCTTGATTTCTAAAATCTGTAATTGTGTAAGTAGGTGGCTTGTTTAAAACTAATGTGAAACACCAACAGACTTTGATTTCTTTATTGAAAGAATTTGACCATGGTGCATACACAGAGCACAAAAAATATTCTCAAAAGGATGAAGACTGTCTCCTTAGCACCACTGGAATTTCAATGTACACATTGATAGAGTAACCTCTTCAATTTGCATAGTAATTTAAAAAAACAATTGCTTAATACTTGAATTTTCCCAAATTGCTGGTTGTAATTTACTTTTGTTACCAGCTCTTAGTGTCTTTAGTTGTCTCTTGCATTTTAAGGTTAATTTTTCCATAACAACTTGTCTGGAGTTGGATGTTCCAAGGAAGTAATGAAGAAGTGGGGCTATACCACTCATTCAGCCACCTGAGACTGGCACAGAGCCTCAGCCTATGCAATGCTTGCTGTACCATGAAAGGCTTTGCAAAGTGCAATAAACAAGCATGTTTAACAATGGTCAGTAGCAGTGTAGAAATGTGAGAAGAGTACTCATCTCAAGGTTGTCAAGGGAGGCTTCTTCAGAGTAATAGTTCTGCTTTCAGTTTTTCTGTTATCTTAATGTTTCTGGTTCTTGTATAGTGCATACTACTGTTGGCTTTTTGTCTGCATAATATGAAAGTTTTAAAAATAACATTCTTGGTTTTTTTATTAAGTGTGCTTCATATACTCCAATATGCATTGTATGCATCTGAATTCTGTGGCTGCATGCAGAATCATAATGACTAAAGTCTATCAGGAGTATACAGGAACTCCTTGTAACTTTTTTTTTTCTTATTTAACTTTTTTACTACATTTTTCTGAAATTTCTAATGATGCTCTTACATGAACACTATGGGTATAACACTCAAAATGAGCACTGAAGTCTTGTTTAATATCAAACTTAACTAGCTCTGGGCTGTCTGATTTCAGATCTTTAAGTGGCAATGAATCAGCATGTGCTCTCCTTTATTCTTGCAGGGATTATCATGGCTATCAGTACTGCAGCATTTGGATTTTACTTTAAAATGATCCTTCCAAATCAAAAGAACTCATCACATCCTGACTTACTGACCACTCCAAATTGCACATCCTCAGTAGCAGGACATGACCTAACCTGGCTGGCGGTAGTGAGCCTGGGGCTCTTCATCACTGGTGAGTTGACTGGCATTGTGCAGAAGACTTGCACAGAAACCCTGTCATCAGTATTGTAGCACTGCACACTGAAGCCTTGTGTGGTCCAGAGTTGCACTAGGTGTCTGCAACCTCTTTATCAATTAAGTCAAAAGTTGTGGAAGCTCAGAACTGCTTTGATTTACACTAAGGCCTTGTTCCTTTGGCCTATATGTCCCTTCTTTAAATCAAATTATTACTCTCGTTGTTACAAACAAAACTTGATCTTTTAGCTGATATTTAAAGGATTGGGCCCTTGTTAAAGAAGCTCAGTAACATACTGTGACAGATTAGTAATGGGGCTCAGATTTCCTGAGAAGCAACTGCGTGCACAAAAATGCTGGAATTCTAAAGTGTGTATTTTTTTGATTTAGAATTCTAGTGGTTTTGCTCATGTAGTTGCTTCAGGAATTCTGAGCCCTGTTGCTAATTGGAATGAATGGATATAGGAATTTTTTTGTTCCCAAGCTCTTTTTGAAGGGGTCTTGTAAGTTCCCCTTGAGCACAAGTCCAAGTGAGTGGTTCTGTGAAAGACATGCAGGAAAAAATACTCTTTCACAGAACGGCTCACTTGGACTTGTAAGTTCCCCTTGAGCACAAGACATGTTCAAAAGGTGATCTTGGGAACAGAAATTCATATGCTGGCTGGACACTAGGAACCAAGAACTGAATGTGGACACTTTGTTTTATGGCTCCATTATAATCTACTTGATTGATGTCTCTTCACCCTACAGACATTACCAACCTGCTTACCTTTTTTGTAATGGTATTGTTCTTGCACTGATTAAGCTAGCTATTTTATGCAAATTTTTAGGCTGTTAGCTACTTCTGGAAATGTCTTTTTTTTTTTTTTTTCCCCCGGCCTCATCTGGCTTCTAGCTTTCTGTGCCTGCCCTGCTTCTGGATGCTGCTCCCCACCCTAGCTGTGCATGGAGTAGAACCACTTACGGAGTTTTGATGAGCTGAGGGTGTGCAACAGCTTGCCGGAACTCCTTAGGTAGCCTGCAGGCCCAAATAATTGCCCACCCCTGCTTTAGAGGTATCAAGAAAAGCAGTTATCCATGCTCAGTATGGAGGTTTTGTTGTGTTGGGTTTTTTTTCTAATGTGAATTAGTGTGGCATGTATAACTGCCTTTTAAAATGTTCTCTCTAGAGAATTGTCACAGAATTAAAGCTACCTAGAGGAGGGGAAAAGTAAATGCCTCACAGAGAAGGCTTTGACACCTTTAAAACAGGAATACTGTGAAAAAGGATAGTATAGTTTCACTTTCCTCCTTCAATTTCAGGTTTTGCCCTTGGTTGGGGTCCCATTCCATGGCTGGTGATGTCTGAAATATTCCCACTTAAAGCTAGAGGCTTTTCCAGTGGTGCCTGTGTTCTAACAAACTGGCTGATGGCATTCTTAGTAACAAAGGAATTTCATGATCTTATGGTAAGCATCCTATGACCCCAGCTTGGAATTTTCATAGGTAAAGCTGATGGATGCAGTTGGTGAAGCAGTAGGTTATGCTTTCCCTGGATATGCAGCTTTACAGATAGTATAGCTTTAAACTTCTTTTGTCTCCCTTTTTTAAAATGATGCTTCTATTTTCTTTCAGGATGTCCTGACTTCATATGGCACGTTCTGGCTTTTCTCTGCCTTCTGTGTCCTAAATATAATGTTTACTGTTCTTTGTGTTCCTGAAACTAAAGGAAGGACATTAGAACAAATAGAGGCTTATTTCCAAAGATCTTACACCTGAGGTTCTTGAATTCATTGGAGAACTGAGATGTACTGTTATTTCTTGGCAGACAAAATTGAGATGACTATTTGGGTTAGCTGTGAATGCTTCTGTGTGGTTCAACTTGGTTCAGAACAACTTCTAATCGGTATTTAATGAACTGGAAGGGATGACACTGTGTATATACATATGGTTGTGTAGCGGCATCTTTCAGGGTCACAGAAGCAACTATTACCAGTTCACTTGAAAATGCATCCCTTTCCCAGGCCTTGAGCTGTGTCAGTTTGGTCATGCAATTCTGCTTCTCGCTGCAGTGTTGCCTAATACAGACTAGCCACAAAGTCTGAATCGGCAAATGTAACACAGGGAGTCTGCTGTTTTCTCTCCTACATTCCATAACATGCATAGCTAACGCAGCAAATTCCCTGTCCAAGGACACTTTTGCTATCTGAGTTGTGTGTGATGCAAGTGAAACTGATTCTGAACAGCACCCATTCAGTACCATTCAATCTTTTTGCTTCCCTTTTCTTTTACTTCTATCCACTGTATATGGCTGATGAACAAAATAAACTCTAGGCCCTTTGTCAGCAGAAGGGCTCTGTATACAATGCTAGAACTATTTCAGATGTTTAAACTTGTTCAGTAACATGACACTGAAAGGATTTTGATACTGTAAGAGTCATCTCTTCAGCTGAAGACTGCTGTCCTGCTAAACTGTGAATCTGTCTTGGACTTTTGCTGGTGGTTTAACAGTTGGGTGTTGGGTGTAGAACCTGCTGAGCACTGCGGACAGAACTGAACTCCAGGACTGACACCAGTGACTTGAAGCTACTTCTCCACTAAAGCAGCTTAAGTTACTTGAGTGAATACCTGATTAATAGCTGCTGATTTTTTTTCCCAATAAGGTCTTGCATATTTGCACAACTTGTAAGCGTCTTCCTGAAAGTCTGTTCAAAATAAACCTTTTTTGCTGGTAAAGAACTTGTTTTTTCCTGTTAAGTTATGAATGTCGTAGAGCTGTTAGCTTAGTTCCAGTAAGGAAGTGAAAGTTGGATTAGTAGACCAAAGCCCAAAGCAGTTCCATAACAGTAGGGGTTGTAGTTAACCTGTACTGTACAACAAGCAAGGTAGTGGGGAAAGTGCGCCATTAGGGTATGAGTAACCTCAAGTTACTGGGGTTTTTTTTTTCCCTCTTCTAATACTTAATGATCCAGGTATTGGCTATTTTTACAACAGTTAAAGTTTACAGGGGCTGGCTGGCACAGCGAATTGCAGGCTGTGGGATCTGGGCCTATAATCCCACCTCTATGCCCCGGGGTATTTTCTGCCCAAGGTGCTGCCCCGCGGGCCGAGGCCAGTGTTGTCACTGGCCGGGGGGCGGGGCCGCGGCCGGGCGCTGCAGCAGCTGCGCCCTTCGAGCACGGGCCTCCGCCTGC